ATCTTTAATGGGAAACTCGCTGCTGTGCTTGGTTGGATCTGTTTGGGGATGCTTCAGACTGCGTTGCACAATGCTTCTGCTGGGACTGATCCTCCTCTTCCAGTGTGCGCCTGGGATGAAGATTTGGTGTCGCTGAGTCCCCTGGTGGGATTAGCCCCACTGGAGAGGAGAGCACACACCTTCCAGTGGTAGAGCAGCAAGAAAATCAAACTGGGGAGAAGATTGTTGTCTCCACAGGGTGTTTGCAGCTCCCAGGGAATGGAGAGATATGGCTGAGGTCTTCATCTCCTTGCCCTGATGGGAAGAGCCCTCAGGTGTGAAAATAAATGGGTGCTGAGGAGGTGAAGATTTCATCTTGGAGAAATGAGGATGCTGGAGAAATACCCTCCCAGGCCTGGGAATGAACAGCAGAGCATCCTCGAAGGGAGGCTGGCTCTGTCACATTGCTGGAAGGGTCTCCAGGCTGCAGAACCAGCAGGACCCTGATCCATCTCCTGGACCTTCTTCCACCCTGAGGCCTCAGTGCGGCATGGCTGGAGGCTGAGAGCTTTTAAAGGGGTTCCTGCTGCCCCATTTGCTTTGCTGGTGCCTTCTTGCCTTTTCCTGGGTAAGTGCTGGGAACTCTGGCTGATACAGGGGAAATGCTTGGGTAAAGCACCAACACTGTGCTGTGTTAGTGCTTTACCATGGGGTTAAATGAGTCATAGGATACCTACACCAGTGCAGTGAGCTTGTGGGAACACCAAGGGTGACGTCTGGTGGAAGTAGATAACCCTTCCCACTCCTTTGCATGCTCACAAGGATCCATCTCTTGTGCTCTATGCTCTAAATACACAGGTGCTGCTGTGGCAGGGGAATTTAGGCACAACATGGGGTGTAAATCAGACCGAAGTCCTTGCTCTCCTGGGCCGTGTCCTCCAAGGATCCACGGTACGCCAGGATCCAGGCTGGGCTCTGGCTCTCTGCTGGCCATGGCCATGGGCATGGTCCCGAGCCTTCAGTGCTCCTGTGGGGCAAAATGCTCCGGATTTTAGGCAAGGATCAGTCTCACCTGCAGCATGCCCAGCATCCCGGCTCTGCCCTGCCTCGTTCCGCTCCTGGCACAGATGCTGCTGCTGCAGCTGCCCTTTACAGGGAATATTTGGGTGCTGGGAGGGATGGTGCCTATGCAAGGATGCTGGCCAGGTCCTGGCTGGCTCCAGAGAGCCCGCAGGGATCTGATGTGTGGGATAATTTCAAAAGCCCTTCTCTGTGCAACTTGGCTGGATGCCGCCAGTTTTGTCCCTGCTTATTTTGGGACCATGGCTGAGCAGCTCTCCAGCATGTGTGCCTGGGCTTGGCCACGGCTTTTGCTGTGAGCATCCCCAGGAGGGACCCCAGGTGCAGCGGCAGGAGATGAGTCATGTGGGTCAGGCCAGGGACACTTCCATCCCTCATCCCCCCATAGGCTGCCTGTGTCTGATGCGTTCCCCATGTCTGGGGCTGCACATAATCCCTTCCTGGGGCTGCCCCCATCCACCATGGCTCCTGGGCTGGGCTGATGGGGAGCTGGCTGAGCAAATGCAGTGTGGAGATGCATGGAGGGATGAGGAGGGGGGTGTAATTTTCCTGCTCTGGGTTTTAAGCTGTCCTGCGATGAGGAGGAGCTGTAAAGAGAGTGTAATTATATAGGTCTTGCCTAGATCCATGTGTAACCCTGGCCGTGCTGTGGGCTTTGCAGTATCACATTGATGGGGGGAGAACGGGTTGAAGGGATGGTCCCTACCATGGGAATCCATGCAGGCAGACAAGACAGGATCTGAATAGTCGCTTAGGGAAATAAAGGGCAGATGAGGTGCCCAAGTAACAAGATACCAGTGTAATCCATGCCCAAGACATCCCAGGCTGCAAAAGCCAATCTTCCTCCAAAAGCCTGTGAAGTGCTGGGAGGTGTCCCTGGGACAGGGATCCCAGGATGTGCTGGGGCTTTACACATTGCCACTAGCATCAGAAGGGGATGCTCAGTCATACGTGGCTGTAAAGGCAATTGCTGCCGGTGGGGAAGGTTTGCCAGGCTCCCACAGGGCAGATGAGGCCCAGCGTGGGAGGGAGCGAACCTGGCTTGACAAGAAGGTGGTTTTGGGCAGAGTTTGACAGCCAGGAGAGGGGATCTCATGGGCTTGGTGGGTCAGCAGCATGGCGTTAGCAGTGGGAACGCAGCTCTGTGCCCAGCCAGGAGATGCGGTCTGTCTGGTGGCTTCCACCCTTGAAATGGTTTGATTTTTGTTAATTGTGATTAATATCTTGCCTTTTCCACAAAGTTTTTGCAAGAACTGGTTTCAAAACCTTGTCGGTGTTTCTTCTTTCCCATCCCTTGGCTGGGGAGGAGCAGGGCTTGGAGGAAGCGGTAGGGAGCCCCAGCGAGCTAGTGCAAGTGGTGGAGGGAAAGCAAGGGCAGGCTTGAGGCAGGGCACGGGATTTTCGGTTTTGATGACTAACTGCAAATTGTTGGAGCCTCAGCTGGGGGACAGTGTCACCTCTGTGACCTGGCTGTCCTTGCGGTGGCCGGGAGCAAGGAGCTGGTGTTTGCAGTTTTCTTTACAAAACTGCTGGGCCAAACCCCACGTGACTCAAGGCACTGAAGGAGTCACAGCACAAAAAAGGCTCGGGTCACACAAAACACCCTTTCTGCTGGGAAAAGCTTTTCTTGGTGTTCTCTGTTGCAGGCTAAAATCAAAGTTTTCCCAACCGCTGCTGTGATTTCTGTCTGCGGTCAGGTCTGAACTCAAATATAACTCAGGTGGAACCAGCCATGGAGCCCAGCGCCGCTCCCAGAGATGTTATTGCTGCAGGAGGAAGCAGGGTTGCTCCGGCTGCCCATTACCACAGGAAATTCTTATGCCTTAAAGATGCTTTTTCCTCAATATATTTAGTAACAGTGTATCAAAAGTCAGAAGGGGCTGGTCCTATCCTGCCCCCCCCCC